TGGGTTAGCCTGGTGATGGGTATTAAAGAGGGCACGTTCTGCATGGAGCACTGGGTGCTATGCACAAACAATGAATCATGGAACACATCAAAAACTAATGATGTAATGTATGGTGATTAACATAACAATAAAAAATTTAAAGAGGAAAAAATAGATAGGACTTTATCAAAATTAAAACTTTCTCTGACGGACTTATTTTGCTTAGCACAAAACTCTCTAGCTCCATCCACTCGTTGTAAATGGCGAGATTCATTCTCTTTTATGGCTGAGTAATATTCCATTGTATATATATACCACATCTTTATCCATTCATCAGTCGATGGACATTTGGGTTCTTTCCATAATTTGGCTATTGTTGATAGTGCTGCCATAAACAGTGGGGTGCATGTGCCCCTTCGAATCAGTGTTTTGGTACCCTTTCGATACTTAGGAGTGCAATTGCTGAGTCATAGTTCTATTTTTAACTTTTGAGGAAACTCCATTCTGTTTTCCAGAGTGGCTGTACCAGTTTGCCATTCCCACCAACAGAGCAAGAGGGTTCCCCTTTCTCCACATCCTCACCAACACCTGTTGTTTCTTGTGTTGTTGTTGATTTTAGCCATTCTGACAGGTGTTAGGTGATATCTCATTGTAGTTTTGATTTGTATCTCCGTGATGATGAGTGATGGTGAGCATCTTTTCATGTGTCTGTTGGCCATCCAGATGTCTTTGGAAAAATATGACTTCACTCATATGTGGAATTTAAGAAACAAAACAAACAAGCAAAGGGGGGGGCCGGTAGGAGACACACAAACCAAGAAACAGACTCTTAACTATGGAGAACAAACTGATGGTTACCAGATGGGTGGTGGGTGGGGAGTTGGGTTCAATAGGTGATGGGCTTAAAGAAGGGCACTTGGGATGAGCACTGGGTGATGTAATGGAAGTGCTGAATCACTGTATTGCACACCTGAAACTAATATAACACTGTATGTTAGCTAACTGGAATTTAAATAAAAACTTAAAAAAAAATTAAACTCTTGTGTGTCAAAAGACACTATCAAGAAAATGAAAATATACCACCAAATGGGAGAAATTATTTCCAAATCATATTTTGGATAAGGGACCAGTATCCAAAATATACAACCAATTTTTATAATCCAAGAACAAAAGATAAACCGAATTTCAAACTGGGCCAAGGACTTGAATAGACACTTCTCCACAGGAGATCTGCAAACAGCCAACTAGTACGTGAAAAAGTGCTCAAGGTCATTAGTCAGGAGGGAAATGCAAATCAAAACGAAGATGAAATCCCACTTCGTAACTATGGGGACGGCTACCACCAGAAAAACAAATGTTGGGGAAGAGGTGGAGAAATTAGAACCCTCATACCCTGGTGCAGCTAGGTGGAAAATGGTTTGGCAGCTCCTCCAAAAGCTAAACATAGTAACATCTGACTCAGCATTCCTCTCCTAGACGCATACCCAACAAAAGGGGAAACGTGTCGGGACAACAACCTGGACACAAATATTCACAGCAGCACCGCTTGTAAACAGCCAGTCAGTGGAAACCCCCCAAATGTTTATCAACCAATGAATGAATTTTAAAAATGTGGTATATCCATAAAGTGGCACGTTATTCGGTCACAATGAGGCATAATGAGCTGGTACAGGGCCACACCATAGCTGGGCCTTTAACCATTATGCTGCCCGAAAGAAGCCAGACCAAAGAGATCACATCTTTTAGAATTCCAATGATATGAAATGTTCTCAAGAAGCACAGCAAACAGAAGGCAAATCAGTGGTTGCCCGCAGGGGGCAGTGGGGAAGGTACCTGGGACTGAGCACTTCCGGGGGAGGGGCGGAGAGCTGATGACAATGTCCCCCATTTGGACAGTGTTATGGCTGCACAACAATGCCAATCTATCAAAAGCCGCTAAACTGGACACTTTAAAATAGTTACAGTGGTGAATTTTATGGTATGTGAATGTCACGTCAATTACAAGCAAAAAAAAGGACAAAAGGAAGTCTTGTCACCTGAGTCATTCAAGACACGCAGGGCTGAGGTGGGGCTTACCCAGCGATGCCAGGTTCCTGCAGTTCTCCCGCATCACGTCTCTGTACAGTGTTCTCTGAGAAGGGTCCAGCAGTGCCCACTCCTCCCGTGTGAACTCCACGGCCACATCCTCGAAGGTCACCAAGTCCTGAGCCGTCACAAGCATCATGGCTTAGCCAAGGACAACCCCACCAAGTTGATAGGAGGACAGGAGTAGAAATAGGTTGGAACCCCAAGCACAAGATGTACGGGCAGGGTTCTGAGCTCTGTTCTCCACTGCTCCTGGGCTCAGCCTGCAGGGCTCCTCTCCTGCCTACTGACGCCCACTCCCAAGGTGAAATGTACCTCTAACACGTAGGTGAGTCCCTACTCCAGTGAGACCGTGGAATCCTGCAGTCTTAGTTCCCTCAACTTCAGGGTTGAGCATAGGCCGGGGACATGGCAGATGTCAGAGAAATACTTGGTAAATGAATGAGTGACTGCCCCACAGTCATCATCAATTACTTGAGTCTAGGACACCTGAGTTACCTTCCCCTTAAAATTCTCAGTGGAACATGACGTAGCCAGTGACCCTGGAGGAAGCTCTGCCATGTAGAAAATGTTGACAAACACCGCCACTGGCTGGGCAGCCCCTCACCCCCTACGAGATGCCCGGAGACCCTGCGCTGTCTGAGACCTGGTTTGGCTGTGGGGCTCCAGGTCATTGAGAAATAGCAAATCCAACTGCTGATCAAAGGAATAATGATTTGGAAAGAGGAGTATCTGACTCACCGGTAACCAGCTTGTCAGGAAGCCATGAACCAACCCTTCCTCCTCTGCGCATCCTTTTTGAGGAGAGACTGAGTACAGGGAAGACTGAGCTGGAGAAGAAATGAGTCAGAAGAGTCCAGGATTGCTCTATATTCTAGCACTCACCAGTTTGGAGGCTTTCTCACCTACCTGTAATTGACCATACCCCAACACACACACGAAGAGTCCAGGATTGCTCTATATTCTAGCACTCACCAGTTTGGAGGCTTTCTCACCTACCTGTAATTGACCATACCCCAACACACACACACACACACACACACACACACACACCCCTTTCACAGATACCAGAGAGCGCGCGCGCACACACACACACACACACACACACACACACACACCCCTTTCACAGATACCAGAGCAGAGCCCTGTCTCACCAGGACTAGAAAACAGGGCCAAGGCTCTTACTGCACTGGAGGAAAAGATGATAATTCCCATTTCACAGATGAGGAAATTGGAGTTCAAGGGACAGCACTGTCATTTTATCAAGTTTATGGAAAGAATCTGGGGTAAATTTAAAGGCTCTCCCATATTCAGGACACAGGTGAGACCTCCACAGACACTCAAACCACCAACACCCCAAGAACCACATGGGGTCCCAGTGGCCCCCGGGCATTCAGGCTCTACTCCTGCCTCACTGCTCAGCCCCTCCTTTCCTGCTCTGTGGTGCAGGGGCCTTTAACGCTTGGATTTTGAGGGCCCCCCAACTTACCGCAAGTGGGGGACAGAACCATGGCTGCCATCCTGTGACTCAGACAGAGAACCCGGAAGCTCCTCCCCTCGTCCCCACAGTGCACGCAGGCCAGGCTCTGGAAGAAATGGGAAAACAGGACGCTTTCACAGCCTTTCTCCCTCTCCAGGCTACTGAGGATGAACCGGGCTCAGCCTGCCCACCGTGTCCTCCTTTAAATGCAAGTGGGGTCTCCAATTCTGGGTCTTTACTTTGCTTATTAGCATGTGAAGAGTCCTAAATGGTACAACCAGCACATGCCTGTGTCACCCCCATTTAAATCCTCAGCTTCACCGAGTCTCAGGGCACATTCTTCCCGTCCAAGTGGTTGTCACAAACACATTCCCAGCTACGACCCCTTTACCAAATAGAGACACTGGCACCTGCCTCCCATTAGTCTTTCGATCTCCAGTCCCACTGCCCTCGGACATCAGAGGGCGTGAGGATGACCCTCACTGTGTTACGAGTTGGTCGCCATCCACGTTGGCCGCACCTTCCATCGGCACCACCCTAGACTCTGTCATCACCTGACCCTGTTCTACCATCTAGAACAACAGTTCAGAAATGTCTCTCTGAACCCGGCCTCCCAAACCTCGCCCTTGTCCGTCAGTTGTTCTCAACCACACAAAGGACTCAGTCCAGCCGCTCTCCTGCCTCCTCAGGCACTCCCTGTTCTCACTTTATGCTTCCCCAGCTTGGATTTCATGACCCCTCACTGGCACGCTTCCTCATCTCTCGGCCCCACCTTCACGCCTGCCCAGTGGCAGCACCAGGGTAGAGCTGTAATGCTGCCACCTCTAGGGAAACATGGTCACCAACATGCAGAGCCCTTGACCCCGCAGGCCATCCTGTAAGTCAGTGCGGCTCCCTACCCATCCACCTGCTCTCATCTCTTTACACCCACACGCCCTCCCCTTTCCCCTCCATGGTAACCCACTTCCTAAATGGCCCTCGCTGACTGAAGCCTCCTGGTGTCTGCATCTGGACATGTTCCATCTGCATCAGGCTGACCCACGTGACAAGAGTACCTCGGCGGTGACTTGGGAGAGGAACCGAGGCCTCCCTCCAACAGCAGCACCGGCGTGCCGGCCTGGGAGCCACCTGCCTTGGCAGTGAACCCTCAGCACCAGGCAAGACTTCAGATCACTGTAGCCCCAGCTGATATCCCACTAGGAACTCATCAAAGTCCCTGAGCCAGAACCTTCTAGCTAAGCTGCCCTGAGTTCCTGAGCCACAAAAACTATGAGAGATGACACATGATTATTATTGTCTTCAGTCACCAAGGTTTGGGATGATCTGTTACGGGGCAACAGATAATAAACACACCCTCGCTTTTGGCAGCTGGTCCTGCCTCCTACTTCTCAGAGCAGTCTTCATGAGAAGGAATCTACCTGCCCGCGCTGCCCCCCAAGCGGCCACGCGCACCATGGTTCCCGCCCTCTTTCCTGTTCCAAACCCGGAGCTGCCTCCCCTTCTGTGTCAGGCCCAGCTCTGCGGCTCTGTTCCGTGCTCCGTCCCACCTGCCCCTTCAGGAGCTGCGCACAATGACTGTCTCGCCTGCCCCTCCCATCCAGCTCGCCCGCTCTACTGGGCCCTTTCTTACACCATGGAAACCCGAGGCAGTGTTTTTCAGTAGTGAAATAAATCTTTTTTTTTTTTTTTTTAAAGATTTTATTTATTTATTTGACAGCGAGAGAGGGAACACAAGCAGGGGGAGTGGGAGAGGGAGAAGCAGGCTTCCCGAGGAGCAGGGAGCCCGACGTGGGGCTGGGTCCCAGGACCCTGGGATCATGACCTGAGCCGAAGGCAGATGCTCAATGACCGAGCCACCCAGGTGCCCCGTGAAATAAATCTATCTTAAGAGCAGTTTTCTCTCTGTTACTACCCAGCCCCTCTCTCTGACCACAGGCAAAGGGTCTCGCTCTCTGACTCATTTCCCCACATCCCAGCCCCTCCTCAGCCCAGGACACCCTGGTTTCCACCACCACCATTTCAAGGACACGGCCCTTGGTAGAACCACCAGTGATCTTATTCATAATAACAGAGACTCACACTGTAACTACACTGATAACATTTTTTTATCTGTCAGATCAACAAGGGCCTGGTGGGCCACATCTCCTCTTGGCAAGCCTGTCTGGAAGGGCATGGTCATACACTGCTGGGGCATAATTCCTATGGAAGGAAAGTTGCCAACTTCAAGCAAAACGCAACAACATTTACGCCTTCCCTGCCAATCACACTTCTAGGAACCTATCTCGAGGATACACAAATACTAAAGGACAAGGGTGCAATGATTCACCCTGGCCTTATTTAGAATATCAAAGACCTGGAAACAATACTGCCCATCAATAGGGAATTAGCTCAATAAACTAGGGACTATCCACAGAATGAAGAAACTCGCAGCCAAAAAAGAAAGAGGTGATCTCTAGGTATTGACAGAGATTCTTATCTCCAATAAATTTAAGTGAAAAAAAAAATGAAGGTTCAAAGCGGTGTCTATGGAATGTTTCCTTTTTATAAAAAGGGAATGAATGGCCTCCTTTCCCTGGAGTTAGGGAATCAAATATTAACTCCATAGAACCAGCTTCTTGAGGTCTCTACGTGTGCCCTCCTGGCACCCAACAGATAAATGCAATAAAGGCTGTGAGTGTGAGCAGGGAGGGGAACGTGGGACACTAAGAGTTTGGGCCAGGTGGAGAGAATGGGCTCAGGGCATCTTTGCCTCCTGGGCCTGTGTGGAGACAGATTACTGCCTCTGCCCCAAAGGTGTCCAGATTCTACTCCTCCGAATCTGTGAATGTGTGAGCTTCCATACACAAGGGATTGATTGTGTAGCTGTGATTAAGGTAAGGTTCCTGAGATGGGGAGAGTATCCAGGATTATCTGGGTGAGCCCAAGGTCATCACAAGAGTCTTTACAAGAGGAGGCAAGAAGGTCAGGTCAGAGGAGCTGTGATGATGAAAGCAGGAGTCAGAGAGAGAGAGAGAGAGATTTGAAGATGCTACCCACCGGCTCTGAAGATGGAGGCAGAAGCCACAAGCCAAGAAAGGCAGGTGGCCTCTACGAGATGGAAAAGACACAGAAAAGGAGTTTCCCCTAGAGCCTCTGGAAGGAATGCAGCTCTGCCGACTGCTGAGGATTTCTATGTTCCAGAATGGCAGGAGAAGAAATCTGTGTTGCTTTAAGCCACAGAGTCTCTGGTAATTTGTTACAGCAGCGACAGGAAAGGAATACAGCCTCTTACATCCAACCTTCCCTGAGGCCTGGAGTGAGTCCAGCAGACCCAGATAACTGCTATGGAGCCTCCTTCCCTTCTGCAGGTGGAGGATGTCTCCTTTCTCCCCACCAGGGACCCAATTTGCAGTTAGGAAGAGCCCAGTCACTGAGCTGAGCAGTGAGAGGGCTGGGATCCAGCCACTCCCGGAGCCCCCAGAGGAAAAGCAGGCTGAGAAGGTGCCTGGGGCACTTTCAGGCCCCAAGGTCCCCATCAAGGTCTTCTGGCAGGTGAAATCTCATAGGAGGGCAGAGGGGTCTGTGCTCAGTTTAGAGATTCAGTGACTCCTGCACCTGGATGTACGTCAGTGCTGGAAGGTCAGAGAGGATGCGCCACCCTATACCAGGGCTGCCCAGCAGAACTTTCAGGGATGACAGAGATGTCCTCTAACTGCTCTGTGCAACTGGCAGCCACAAGCCACATGTGGCTACTGAGCACTTGAAATGGGGCCAGGAGGACATAAAGTAATGAAATTTTGATCGTATTTCTCATTGGTTTCATTGCAATAGCTACAGGTGCCTTGTGGCTCCCACAGGAGACAGGGCAGCCATGGACATACTCAGGCCTGACTTCTTCCAGGATGCAGAGGAGGGGGTCTGTGAGTGGCAAAGCAGGATGAAAGTATGGGCCTGGGCGAGGGGGAGGCCTGCAGGTTCGCATGGACAGGAGCTGGGGGCAGAGAAGGGCCCGGTATCATCTGGCAAATACAAGCACGAATGAAAGCATCGTTATGTTTTCTCAGTTCTAAACTCCTGGGTCTCCTCTTCCCGCTTCTTTCCTATTCCACAACCACCATCCGGGCTTAGGGAACCATTATCTTATCCCTAAACTTCCTCCTACCACCTCCAGTCTTGCCTTTTAAATCTTCTTTCTGAATCCTGAGGTCCATTTTAACCCACGCACATAGACCAAATGTGAATCACATCGCTACCGTGTCTCTCCACCGATCCCAGAACAGAGTCCAACCTAAGACCTGACCTGGTCCAGCCTGCCCTGCTCTGCACTCCCCGCTTTGCTGTCTTGGCTCAGCCATTCCTGTCTTCCCAGCTCATGGAGCACACAAGGCTCTCTCCTGCTTCAGGGCTTGTCTTCTTGCAGCTCCCTTTGCCTGAAATGCTCTCTTGAAAATAATCGCACACCCTTGCTCCAGCAACTCTGCAGCTAGCACAATTTGACCCCAGCCTCAGCTCTTAAGGTAAATATCAACCCTTCTCAAGAAGGCTTCCCTGTTCCCTTGATTGAGTTCTCTGTGCCAAGCTCCCACATCACTCCTGTCAATAGGTGTTTAAAATCACAATTCTTGGGCGCCTGGGTGGCTCAGTCAGTTAAGCATCTGTCTTCGGCTCAGGTCATGATCCCGGAGTCCTGGGATCGAGTCCCATATAGGGCTCCCTGCTCAGTGGGGAGTCTGCTTCTCCCTCTATCCCTCACCCTACTCGTGCTCTCTCTCTCTCTCAAATAAATAAAATCTTTAAAAAAAAATAAAATCACAATTCCCTATTAGAATGTAAGTTCCATGGAGGCAGAACAAGGTCAGTTTGGCTCTCCCAGGTCTCTACCATCTGGCCCAGGGCCTGCCTCACGGAGATGATGAGCCATCCTGGTTTGTCTAGAACTGTCCTGGTTTGAACACTAAATGTCCTGTGTCCTGGTAAACCTCTCTCACTCTCAAATAAACAAGAAGGGTTGATCACCATACACTGTGCACTCAAAGAATATCTGTTGCATGACAAACATTC